TTTCCCAGCCTCTTTAGATCCCCAAGTTCATTAGGGGTATGATCTGCTCCCCAAGCTACCACAGATAATAATAGTTTTATTAAGTATTTTTTATAGCATGTCATAGATTATGGTGTTTTTCTAATCTTTTTTATTTTTTTTTCAATGCCTGATATCTAAAAACCGAAGCCACATATTGCCTTACTCTTGGTACCTGATGTATGTCAGAAAAAGCTAAGGTGTGTCGTGGCTTTCGGTAGATAGTCCCTCATGCACGTAATCCAATAAAAGACTACAAAGGGGCCACAACCACAAAGTCACTCAAGGATCCCGGCTGATGGAAGCCCCGTCATTTTGTATTGGCACCATCTGGGCCCCACGTTCTCCTCAATTGTTATGGCTAAAAAAGGGAAACTGGGCTGAGCACGGTGTCTCACGCCTGTAATCCCAGCTCTTTGGGAGACGAGACGGGCAGATCACGAGATCAGGAGATCGAGACCATCCTGGCTAGCATGGTGAAACCCTGTCTCTACTAAAAATACAAAAAATTAGCCGGGCGTGGTGGCGGGCACCTGTAGTCCCAGCTACTCGGGAGGCTGAGGCAGGAGAATGGCCTGAACCCGGGAGGCGGAGCTTGCAGTGAGTCGAGATCGCACCACTGCACTCCAGCCTGGGCAATGAGCTAGACTCCATCTCAAAAAAAAAAAAAGGGAAACTGGAAACTGGATAATGATCCATGTGGGTTTTTAATTGCCCAGCTCAGAAATGGTATATGTCATTTCTGCTCAGATTTCATTGGCTGGAACACAGCTCATCCTAATTACAAGGGAATTGACAAATGCAGTGGAAGAGATGGAATGCGGAATGCTTATGTTTGCACACTGGGAGTCAAGGTAGAACCGTTGCAGTGCTCTTTATGAGAGATGATGGTGCCTGGGAACTGACTGGTGGCAGTGAAGGCGGTAGGAAATGGTTAGAGCCCAGATATATTTTGAAGCTTGACCAATAAGATTTGCTGATGCCATCAACGATTCCTCAGTCCCTCCGCCCTCTTCTCACTATATTATCTTCCATTATATATGTGGTTTCTTTGTAAGCCTGCTTCATGTTTTTATCTCATTTTTTATAGGTCTTGGAAAGTAGATGTTTAGTACCTATTTATTAAGTGATGAAACAGTTTAGCCACTTATCTTTATTTCACAAAATCCATTATTATTTTTCATAGCAATTACAATTGCTGCAGGGAACAGTTAAAAGTATAATCTTGGTTGGATATTATAGTAATGATATACATGAATGACATGTTAATGCTGTGGGCTTGAGAAAAGAGTGTTAAGAATAATGGTACCGTGGGGCCACTAGATACAATAAAGAAATTGCCATTTTTTTACTCTGGTACATTTTTTTCCAATCATTTCTTTCTTTTACTTCTGTTCCTTCCATTATAGAACAGTTTAAAGAAAATAAATCTACTAGATGTAAATTCAGTGTTAAACATATATTTTTTAATCATACCCTGGAGTCTTTCAGCAATGAACCTGTTTTTACAAAGTATAGTAATAAAAAGCTTGAATTAAGTAAAACGCCTAGTCAAATAAAACACCTTACATATTTTTAATCATAATATCATTCTGCTTCTTAGAGGTTCTAGCTAGCTCAGGAAAATTAACTTAGGATTGCATTTATTTGCACTCTGCCTTGCTCAGTGTCAGGTTATATAGTTATTTTGAAATGTTTAGTTCTCTTGAAGGATTATTTTAAATAGAAAAAGAAAATTTTCTAATGACACTGTAGTGATGAAGTCAAACAATTTAAACTCTTGAAAAAGTTGCACCTGTCTCTCATAACCTACGACAAGTTTTCTGAAAGCATAGACTTCCGAGTGAGGGCTAGACTCAGTAACGCTGAGGAGACAGTTGATACATACAAAGTAGGTGGGTTATACACTTGGATGTTGGAGCAGAGGACTTGCCAGTGGAATGCTTGTAGAGGCTAGGTTGACCCTGGATGTCTCGGTAATGAAACATAACTAGAAATTTGCCTTGCGAAAAAGAGGGAAAGGAACATTTTATTGAGACAAGACGGCAAGTAAGAGCACCAGGTAATGACAAAGAGTCAGTGTGGCTGTAGCTTTGGGTTCGGGTTACAATTATACCATGAAGCCAGAGGCTTAGCTAGGGACCAGTTTGTGAAAGTTCTTGAATTCCGTGCTAAGAAATTTGGGGAACTTATTTAAAAAAAGGTTTTTCTAAAAGGGAATTATATGACAGATTTATTAGGAAGATGACAAACTAACAGTGGGGAGGATGGCGTATGTATTTTATCCATTGGTCAAATTAAATGTCAGCATCTGTTTACTGAGTACTTACTATGGGCAAGGCACTGTGCTGACTGTTTTATAAATTGTCTTAAGTTCTTAAAATTGTGCAGCAGGGGTCTTTTTTTTTCATTTTGTAGATAAGGACACTAAGGCTTCAAGCACTTTGTCAAGTTTCCTAAAGTCATACCAGTAGTAAATACTAAACACACGTTTTCTGAATGTATTGTTCTTCCTGCTTACCATATATTCATTCCAGGGTTGGTTGACAAAGGCTAGTCAAGACTTGGACAACAGTGATCTCATCTGGACCTCTTTAAGGGGATAGGGACCCATCGTTTCATCCAGGACCCTACTTCCTGCACGTGTGAATTAGCTGCCTGTCCCTATTCTATAGCCAGTCTGTTTCTGAAACTCTTCCATATCACACAGTAGGCTAGGAAGAGTGTATACATTTGGCTAGCTGATATAGCCAAGTAATTTCTGAAATGTAGATTTCTTGGAGAAACAAATATGACTATAAAAAAGATTTACTGTACTATAAATTTTAATTCTTATTCGGCCTTGATTTTGTCATTCAGCATTCAACCAGCGTATGCACTCTCTAATAAACTCAGAGCCTATGAGGATGCAGAAATCGTTGAGTGGACGCTGTGTGATGCAAGGTGACAGGGAGCACCGACTTGGTACAAGTGATCTGGATTCTGGTTTTTACTCTTCTCATTCACACAATGACCCCTAACATACCACTGAGCCTCCTGGAGCTCAGTCTCTTCGTCTACATGTATGAAGGGAGGGGTGGTTTGTTGAACAAAACACAGATCTAGTATTTTGTATTTCTAAATCACAGGGAGGAGTTCACAGTTTATTTGTGGGATAACACATTAACATAATTAATACTTGTCAGTCAATGGTGGGCTCTGATTTTTTTAATGGCTTAGAACCAGAAATTTGGTAAGAAGTAGGGACTACGGAATTTGTTTGAAAGCTGCATTTGCAATGCATTTCCAATTTCATTGGAAATAGTACTTTCCTAAAGATCTCTTTTATCAATATTTGCATAGGATTAGGAAAATGTCCCCTGTCAGCATTTTAAAGTCATAACTCTGTTGAGTAACTTGGAGTAACTTGGAGGGAGCTAGTAGGAAAGGAAGGGTCTGGGGGCAGCTTACCTCCTGTTGTGGTCACTCATGCCATGTATTTCAGCCTAGTCCTACTCTTTAGAATAACCAGACATTTACAATGACTGCTTTTAGGAAATAGAAAAAAAAAAAAATGAGATTCTGTCATAGGAGTCTTTATCTCTTTTATTAAAACAAAAAAATCAACACATCCTTTTGAGGATATAGTAAAAATGTACTTGAGTAGCTGACAGAAGACTACAGTCCAGGATCCAAAGCAGCACAAATCAGTGAGGCCTGAGGAGGCGCCAGGATATCTCAGAGGCGTCTGCTTCTTCTATCAACAAAGCACAAAGTTTAGACTTAGTTTTGTATTTTTGAGGGTCAGAGCTTAATATTTTAATATTAGAAAAATATAACTCCTGCACATTCTTGAGGATAAATGAGCTTAGTATTTTATTAATTAGAAACATGTAACTCCCATATATCTAACACAGTATACAAGAGTCTGATGCATGTCACTGAATAAATGGGTGAAAACAATGGTATAGAAACTTTGGAAAGAAGGAAAGAAAAAAAAATAGCTCATAATCCTAACACCTTAATAATATATATATGCATATGTCTGAATACATATTTAATATATTTTTATACATACATATACTTTATATGCATGTACACGTTGAATTTCCTGAATCTAGGAATCTGAAATGCTCCAATGTCTGAAACTTTTTGAGTGCCAACATGATGCTCAAAGGAAATGCTCATTGGAGCATTTTGGATTTCAGCCTTTTGAATTAGGGATGCTAAATTAGCAAGTATTCCAAAATCAAAAAAAAAAAAATCTGAAATCTGAAATACTTCTGGTTCCAAACATTTCAGATAAGGAGTACTCAACCTGTGTCTGTGTGTGTGTGTGTGTGTGTGTATGTAAAATAGAAAATATATAAAATACATATATATTGTATATGCAGATATAGTTTGAAGTTTAATGTAAACATTATCTAGAAAGTTTTATATTCTGATTTCTAAGATTTAACGTTCTATGACAAACATATTCCAAAATGTTTGGATAATGTTTTTGTAATTCTAATTTTAATGACTACATAACATTCCAGCCCGTTATTTATTATAAGCTGGTTATCATTTCTTCTATCAATTAGATTACTTTTGAGGTTATGTTAATAGTCTTATTCCAGTTAAAATCTTTATGCCTGTATTTATTTTCTTCTTTTGAATCTTTTTCTTTTAATAAGTGATCAGAACTGGGAATGTGGTTGTAGAAATGGCTCCTCATTTTTGCACTGTAACCAGCAGTCAGTGTGAATACTAGTTTCATCACTTTACCTGCTTTGGATATTAACATTTTTAAAAATCTTAATTACTAGTTTGATAATGCAAATGGCACCTCACTTTTTGTTTTCTTCACAGAAGAAAAACTAGTATAACAAGTGCTATTTATTGGTTAAAATCATATATACAAAAATTTCAGTATTGTTTTAACTCATTAACATTTGTTGAATATGCAAGATGTAATAATGCAGGGTTCTTTTGTCTCACAATTATTTAATTCTTTTTTTAAGCTGTCTGTGGAAGCCCGTAAAGAGATGACTAGAAAGGCTATTAAGACAGTCAAACATTTTATTGAGAAGCCAAGGAAAAGAAACTCAGAAGATGAAACTCAAGAAGCTAAGGATTCTAAAGTTACCTATGCAGATGCTTTGAATCATCTGGAGAAATCACTTGCCCACCTGGAAACCCTGAGCCACAGCTTCATCCTTTCTCTGAAGAATAGTGAGCAGGTAAAGAAATGGGAACTTCTATATGCTTACTCTCTATCAGTATATTATTTCTTTTTTCCTTTAAAGTTACATTAGTTGTTTTGACAGGGTTTTCAGACTTGCAGATATCCTTGAAAATAGTCCTCAAGCCTTTATTGGTTAATCTCTTCATTACCACTTGATTGACAATTCAGTTTCCACTTCTTTCAAAACGATGTTGAGCCACTTGGCACAGTTGATATGGGGCAATAGAAGAAGTGGGTGAGAAGGGTGGAAGTGGAGACAGCAGCAAGAGTTGAACACTGGATAGCGGCCTGGGGTCGGGGGAGTGGTCTCTAAAATTAAGAAATGAGAAGACAGTGGTGCTCAGACTTTACTTCTACCTGTTAGAATTTTTAAAAAAAATAAAAATATGCTGGGCACGGTGGCTCATGCTGTAATCCCAGCGCTTTGGGAGGCCAAGGCAGGCGGATCACAAGGTCCAGGAGTTTGAGACCAGCCTGACCAACATGGTGAAACCCCGTCTCTACTAAAAATACAAACATTAGCCGGGCGTGGTGGCACGCACCTGTAATCCCAGCTACTCAGGAGGCTAAGGCAGGAGAATCGCTTGAACCTGGGAGGCGGAGGTTGCGGTGAGCCGAGATTGCCCCACTGCACTCCAGCCTGGGTGACAGAGTGAGACTCTGTCTCAAATAAATAAATAAATAAATAAATATATAAATACATAAATAAAAATTTTGATTTTATTTTCCCTTCTAATTTTCAGAAAAAAATCAGAAATAGCTTCTTATGTTTACCCTGTTTTTTTTTTTGTTGTTGTTAAATGTATACCCTTAACCTGTTTTTATGTTGCATGTTTCCAACGTAAAATAGAATTTCATTATTGAGAGGAATTTTTTGACTACTAAAATTGTTTCTAGTTGGCTTCTAGTTTCTTGGTGTCTCAAAAACAGCATCATGAAGTTTGAGGTCCCCTACCCGTGATGAGGTTTGAAGACCCAGGTGTTAGGACTATACAATGAAACCCGAAGCTCTCTGAGGCCCTTAGAGATTTTGTTCTATATTTTAACAATTGTGGGAGTTGAGATAATTTTTTCTATAACTGGAAAGTTGATAAATCAATAAATAAATGGTTTCCATATAAGTGAAAACAGTGCTTATATATATGAATAATATTCCATTTGCCCTGCAATACTATGGTAAATGAACCTTATAAGTGGCCATTAACCTCCTCTTTTATTTTTCTTAAACCTTACACATTTATTGAATTGTATTCTTGCCTTGTAGAATGACTAGAAAGATCAGTCAGTGGAGAGTTCAGATAATGAGCAAATGGGAGACGTCAAAATTTGTACAAGACATAAATGCAAAGCCCTCATTGAAAAGATAATGGGAAGAACTTAAAAGTTTGAAAGAAATTTTATTCCATTTTGTGTTTTGGAGTGCCTATTTTTCTGTCTGGTGAATAATGTTAAATAATGGTATGAACAATATAGAAGCCTTTGCAGGGAACAAATTGGCTTTACCAATCTTGGTTTTATCCTACTGACATTTACAGCACTGCAGTTCATAATTATGAGAACTAGAGTAAAATTATAATCTTCAGGGAAAAGTGGTTTATACTTACTATAAATTTTTAAAGTACTCATTTTTAAATAAACACATTTAAAATTATTTTTAAATTTATATTATTTTTTAATATACTATATTAAAACCCAGAGAATTGGCATTACTCTCTTTGGAACAAGTATTGTCTTTTTTTTTTTTTTTTTGACAAGGTCTCACTCTGTTCCTCAGGCCCACTCACTGCAGCCTCTACCTCCTGGGCTCAAGCAATCCTCCCACCTCAGTCTCCTGAGTAGCTGGGACTACAGGTGTGTGCTACCACACCCACCTAATTTTTTGTATTTTTTGTAGGGACAGAGTTTCACCATGTTGCCCAGGCTGGTCTCAAAGTCCTGGGCTCAAGCTATTTGCCCACCTTGGCCTTCCAGGTCTGAGCCACTTCACCCAGCCACAAGTATTGTCTTCCAATACCTAGAATAGTTTACGGGGGGATTTAAGGGGATTATTGATAAAAAACATGTTTGTTTCATCTAAGATGTGACGTAAACGTACCATATAGCTACTTGTGAGTGCCATTCAGTCAGACTCTGGATGGTCCATAATAGGAAACTCTTGAGGTTCCTAAATTAGACATTAGTTAATTTTATTAAGGCACCATGTATAGCAAAAACGGGAAATAACCTTCAACCCCATGCATTTATCCCTTTTATAGTTCAGACCTTCATTTTAACATCCATAATTATATACCCAGTACAAAAAAATCTTATATCCTCATGAAGGTTAATTTAACCAAAGTTAAAGGCTTTCGTCCTACAGAGCCTCAGTTCCCTCTTCTCTTAGGTGAGGATACTAGGAATTGCCCTGCTTAACTCATAGGGATTTTTCTGAAATAGAGAATTTCACAGCAGGCAGAACAGTAAAATGAAACTTCATGTGCCCAACTCCCAGCTTCAACAATTATCAAAACATGCCCCATCTTAATGCATAATACTGCCTTCCCTTCCCTTGCTCTTGTGGATTGTGAAGCAAATCTCAGTCATCTTTTCATTTTATTCATAAATACCTCCCTATCTATCTCTAAAAGATACTTTAAAATAACCACTATAACATGATCACTAGCAAAGAAATTAATAGACATTCTTTAATATCATCAAATATTCTGTTAATATTCAGATTTTTCTCATGGTTGGTTTCAAAGACTAAACAGTATATTCAGGATTACAAGGGAAACGATAAAGAATCTGGAAACAGTTATCATCGTTAAGTGACTGTATTTGGTATGCCAAAAAACAATAGCTTGCCTCTTATTTCTTAAATTATTTGTTACAACATTGGAGAGGCAGGCAGTGTGGCCTAGGGCAGGGGAGTAGACTTGGGATCTAATCTTAGCTCTGCTGATTGGTAGCCGTGTGACTTTGGTCATGTTACTCAATCTCCTTGGTCTTTAGTGTCCTTTTTTATAACATGGAGCTAATTTAAAAATACTTGCAGGGTTTTTACAAGTATTAATTTAGATACCATATGTATAATACCTGGGATTACATAGTTGTAGTTCAATAGATTATTATGTGGTTGTAGCGCATTAGTGATAATAATAATAGAAAAGCTCATACTTACTGAGCATTACTTTATTTCCGAAGTGCTAAAGAACTGATTTTTATATTATCTCAGTTAATGTTCACAACACCCTGTATTCACACGACCCTATTTTCCTCATCCTCATTTTACAGATGTTGAAATTTGAGATCACAGAGGCCCGCTAACTAATAAATGGTAAAGCCAGAATTTGCACTCAAATGTGGGTGATCCTTGAGCCTAAGCTCTTAATAACTAATACATGCGCTTTGGTATGGTGTTGCTGCTTGTCATGTATTTGGTTTCAGGATCTAAATATGTTTCACTTTGTGCATGTAGATACATTTAATTTCTGTTTAAGTGTTGATTACCATGTCTTTACAGGAAACACTGCAAAAATACAGTCACCTCTATGATCTGTCCCGATCAGAAAAAGAGAAACTTCATGATGAAGCCGTGGCTATTTGTTTAGATGGTCAGCCTCTAGCAATGATTCAGCAGCTGCTAGAGGTGGCAGTTGGCCCTCTTGACATCTCACCCAAGGATATAGTGCAGAGTGCAATCATGAAAATAATTTCTGCATTGAGGTAAGCTACAAAGTGATCATTGTGGAAAAACTGGGGTGACACTTTGTCAGTGATGGTGCTAAGCTATCATCTTGTATGTAAAAGCATTTTATAAGTTTTGAAGGACTCTACAAAAGTGAGAGATTATTTTTAGAGTTCTCATAGTCTTATGTCTTCAGAATGGAGACCATGAAAATGTTTCATTGTTGGTACTGTGTATAACATCTTAAGCTATGTAATTTCTGGTCGGACCCCGTTTTACAAAGTTTTCTTGAAATAAGGGAAAGGCCAAAATGGCATTTGACACAGGTAAGTAAGTTTCAGACTGTCCTGTGACTTCAATATGGTTTTTCAGATCTTACCCTTTCTAATTCCCATTCTTTGTAGTAGTAGGAAAATGGTTCCCAGAAGGTTCTTTTGAAAAACACAAGACAAGGTTAATCATACACTGATGAAGTTAGACATCTGTAAAGTGTCTTTAGACATTATTTACCTGCAATTAATGGCATAAAACCGACAATTGAGAAATTCTTGCTTTGTGTCGACATGCGGGTGCCTTTGTAGGAATGCATCCAAGAGGATTAGAAAAGAGGCAAAAGTGAAGCTAAGAAAATAATGAGGCATCAAGTACTTTCTGTGAATAATGCAATTAGGCTAAAAGATTTAGTTATGTTTAATTTATTCTCCTTTTAAGCATTCTTTTTAATTCTGTATTGCTCTTGAGGAACTTTTTGATTAAATGCATGTCAGTTTTCTGCAGCTGAACTGAAATCAAATGAGCCTTTATCAGTTTAATTACCCCAGCCTCATACAGTTTTTACCTTAATGCTCTGAGGTATCCATTAATTTTATATATAGGGAGATATATAGAATTTCATAACTTTTTTTTAGAAGAACAAATTTCAAATTAATAAAGCTTAGTTTTATTGTTTGCTTATTAGGATTTTTTGATGTTGGTTGTATGAACCAGTGTCCTCTTTCAAATGATGACAGGTATTTGTTGGCCACATTTTGTACCTTTTGGTTTATGGTTATCTTTTTATTATTTCTTAAACCAAGTTTTAGATGAAGCTCACAAAAATACGCATTTTGAAAAATTAGTGTTTTGATGAATTTAGTTTATTTCTTAAAATTGCCCATTTTCATGAATAATTAAAATATGATAGAACAGTTTTATGTTTATAAATTTTTGACATAAATTATGCTTCTCTTTTTCTGCATCCAATTCTACCACTACAGATTTGGTTCTGATCCAATAAATGGTATACTTGGCACACAGAAGACATTCAATAAATGTTAATTAAATCTTGCAGCAATAGAAGGAAAAGAAAACTTAAGGAATTCAGCTACTTCTGTTTCTAAGGAAAATAAATTTTTATTGACAATGTTCATAACATTTACCTTTTAGGAAGTTAATAAAATGTAGTAGGCACGAAATAACAAAGACATGAAAGGAACCGAATCTAACAGTTGATTTATATCATTAAATTATAAGAAAAACTCATTGAAAATATATTTTTCCTCTGTTGCATTTTGAGGATTCACTAAAGTTCTACACATAACATCTGTAAAATGGGCATAATAATAGTACTTGTCTCATAGGATGTTGCGTTTAATAGTGGCAGAATGTATGTGAACTGTTTAGCGTTACCTGGTACTTATTAGTAGCAAGTAAATATTAGTGCTTTCTTTTAAAAAAAAACTTCAACTGGAGGATGTAAATCATTATTACATTTAATGCTGAAAGTAGCTCATACAGTTGATGTTCAATGAATGTTTTTCGAATGACACAGTGCAAGTAGATTGTGTTATTCTCTTGATAGGAAAACATGCATATATTAGACTGAGCCCCTTAAGGGCAGAAAATGTTTCATTAGCACCTAGTGTAGGGCTTGGTACATTTGTAGATATCACATAGCACAAATGACTATGGGCAGGTAGTATACCATGCCAAACTTCAACCAGGTTCATTTAAGCGTGTGAATACCAAGTTTATTTTTGAGACTGGAGTGATCCTTTTCTGAATCAGTTTCTCTCTCTTTTCACAGTGGTGGCAGTGCTGACCTTGGTGGGCCAAGGGACCCACTGAAGGTCCTGGAAGGTGTTGTTGCAGCCGTCCACGCCAGTGTGGACAAGGGGTAAGACTAGAACAGTATGTGCATCTTCATTAACTGGCTTTCCTCAGAGTATTAGAATTGCTGTTATTTTCCATGTGTATGAGGCTTCCAAGACTAAGCCACATTTTTAGGTGTTTTCTGAAAGAAGAATCGAGGACCTGCGGCTCAGTTCTTCCTCAGAAGAACTGGGAAAGGAGCGGCTCTGCACCTGGAGATGTGGTGTTCTTAGCTTTGTGCTGACCTCACCAGCTCCAGGTCCTGCTTGCCATGGAGAGCATTGTTCTCTCTTGCCTCCTTCACAGCCATTAGAGATAATAATCATCATAATCATTCTGTCAGGGCAGAAACTGCTCTGAGCTTCCTACATGATAAGGGATTCTCATCTCCAACACGTTAACTGTATTGATTAAGTATGGAAATTCCTAGGGTGAGTATATATGTTCTTTAAAAAAAAAAAAAAAACTTTGCATAAATTAAAGTCTGCCTTGTTTTAGGACTCAAAGTATACAGGCTTTATAAGCCTAGAAAGATGTATAGATCTCTGATGCTATTTTTAGAAAGAATTTTTCATTCAGATACAATGATATTGATAAGAAAAAGAGCAGCCACAAATGAACGGTTATGCATGTCCTTGAAATGCACAAAGGTCTTTACAATGCCTAATATCCATGTCAGCTGTATAAGACCTCTCCCCAATTTCTTTCTTTAATTGAAAATGTGATCGAATATAATGAAGACGGGTTTCAGAAAACTCCCCATAGTTCCATTTGGTAACATTTTTATTTGCATGTTACCTACCAGTTATTGTTCAGGTACAGATATCTTTCTATATAGTTTCAATTTGAATGTATAAGCTTTTGTATTCTCTTATTTATTTGCTATTGTAAGACTTTCCATTGATCTTTGTAGATTTAATGATTATTGTGATTATTATTTCTAATGGCTGGGTATGTTGTTGCCATTTTCAGAGGAGGACCTAAAAGAAAAGCTCAGAGAGAGGAGTTGACTTGCCCAGAGTTATAGAGCTGGGAAATAGAACCCGGATTCCACCCAGGCTCTGAATGATAATGAAGTACTCAGATGCTGATGCTTTCGTAGTCTATTTCCCTGCATTGCTTTGTGCACAAGGTTTGAGTGACAGAATATAGAATGAGCTATGTAGGTGAAGATGGAAAAACATTGCAAGCAGGGGCTTCTACTTCCTGTGCTTTTTACCTTGCACAGTGTTTCTGAACCCCTTTGCTTACAGTTCTTCAGATAGGAAAGTCGCTGTAGCAGTGGCTAATTTAGGCCCCCCATTTTAAAAAGAAATTAATGATTCGTGGGGTGTACTGTGTGCCGTGCTCTGTGTGAAGTCACAAAGGGGTCATGTGGATAAGAAATAACCTCTAACCCCAGGGAGCTCACAGTCCTGCGGGGGAGACGATCTGGCCTGTAGCCATAGTCACTGTGCTATGGAATGGGAAGCGCTGTATGGAAGGCAGAGTGGAGGGAGTAGTTAGGGCAGGATACACAAAGGGTGACACAGAGCTGGTCAGTGAAAGAAGAGTCTGTTTGGAGGAGATAGATGATGGTATTCCAGGCTGAGGAAGCTGCCTGAGCAACTGCACATGCAGCAGGGAGCAGAGCAGGCAGAGACGCTACATGGGAAACACTTACCCTCCTTCCAGGGCCCATCTCACTGCTGCTGTCTCATTCCCAGTGTGTCAGTGAGTTCTCAGCCATCAGCTCCCAGGGAGCTGCTGTCAGCAGCGCAGCTTCTCTCAGGCTAGGCTGACTCTGGATCCTGGCCTCCCAAGATGAAAGGGTCTCAATAGGTACTGTTTTAGGCCCCTTTCAATGGGGCTTCTTAGTCTTGTCCCGCTGGGGACATCTCAAGAATATTAAAAGGCAGTGTTCCTTAGTGAATTTCTAGCCACGTATACAGAAGAATCCAATTTGAGACTCACTCTAATACAGACTATTTTTTAAGGTTTGAAAAAGACATTAGGGAGTGGAGGAAGAGAAAAAGATCTTACTTTTTATTCTAGGGACACAGAATAACAAAGCCTTCTTAACAAAAAAAAAATTCAGGGAATTTTTTTTTTTTTTTTTGCCTAAAAAATAAAAAGAAGAAAGACAAAGCCATAACTTTTATTTTGGCAAGTATTTTTTGAATCTGCACAGTCAAACCTGACACCCTTTGTTTGGGTTTCCCTTCCCAATAATGTGCCTGGCAGAGTCACGGAAGGGAGGCGGTTTATGTTTTCCAGGTAGCTCCAAGGAGGGTCTTTGCAGTGATATGGTTATTCTGGTTTTTGAAAGTAATGCTCTCAAGTTATTCATTCCTTGACCTGACATGACAGCCTAACCTCCAGGAGCCCGTGCCAGGCCTTATGTGCCCCTCACCCTTTCTTTTATTGACATACCAAGCCTCCCTCAGTCCCAAACTCATAACTTGGACATCCACTACCCTCCATAGTGTCTGTTTTGACAGTAGCCTCACTCATACACATCTTCAGATGTCACACACACAGGCGCATTACATGCTCTTGGGTTAGGTATACACTATCCCACAATATCCCTGGCAGGGAGATTGCATAAAAAAGTAAGAACTTGAGGATGTGTGTTGACGGCCACCACCAAATATTTGGTTTTGTGGTTAATTTTAGCAATTTATGCCATTATTCACATGTCCTCTTTTTTTTTTTTTTTTACATGGAGTTTTGCTCTTGTTGTCCAGGCTGGAGTGCAGTGGCGCAATCTCGGCTCACTGCAACCTCCACCTCCCTGGTTCAAACAATTCTCCTGCCTCAGCCTCCTGAGTAGCTGGAATTACAGGTGCCTGCCACCATGTCCAGCTAATTTTTGTATTCTTAGTAGAGACGCGGTTTTGCCATGTTGGGAAGGCTGGTCTCAAACTCCTGACCTCAGATTATCCACCCGCCTCGGCCTCGCAAAGTGTTGGGATTACAGGAGTGAGCCACCACGCCCGGCCCACATGTCCTCTTTTATCTTTTTATGTTGGCGCAAATATTATTTGCTTCTTTTAAATTTAAATTTTTATATTGTATAATTGACACATAATAATTGTACACGTTTATGTGGTACAGTGTAATGTTCCTTTTTTTTTTTTTTTTTGAGACAGAGTCTTGCAGTGTTGCCCAGGCTGGAATGCAGTGGTGGTATCTCAGCTCACTGCAACCTCTGCCCCCCGGGTTCAAGTGATTCTCCTGCCTCAGACTCCCGAGTAGCTGGGATTACAAGTGCCCACCACCATGCCCGGATAATTTTTGTATTTTTAGTAGAGACGGGGGGGTTTCACCATGTTGGCCAGGCTGATCTTGAACTCCTGACTTCAGGTGATCTGCCTGCCTTGGCCTCACAAAGTGCTGGGATTATAGGCATGAGCCACCACACCCGACTTGTGATGTTTCAATGAATGTATACATAGCATAATGATAAAATTGGTATAATTACCATATCCATCACTTTAACCATTTATCATTTCTTTGTGGTGACAATATTCAAATTCTTCTAGCAATCTTGAAATATTTAATACATTGGTATTTGCTCTGATTCATCCTACTATATAAATAAGACACCAAAACTTATTCTTCCTGCCCAACTATAAGTTTGTGCCTACTGACCATCCTCTATACCCCACACTCCGCTCCCCGGAAACCACCAACCTACTCTCACTTCCATGAAATCAACGTTTTTAGATTCCACATATGAGTGAGATCATGTGGTATTTGTCTCTGTGCCTGACTCATCTCACTTAACGTAATGTCCTCCAGGTTCATCCATGTTACTGCAGATGACAGGATTTCACTGTTTTGTGGCTGAATGGTATTTATATATACCACATTTTCTTCATCCGTTAATCTTTAGATGGGCATTTAGGTTGATTTCATATCTTGGTGATTATGAATAGCACTGCAATAAACATGGGTATGCAGAAGTTTCTTCAACATACTGATGTCATCCCTTTGGATATATACTCAGTAATGGGATTGCTGCATCAAATGGTAGTCCTATTTTCAATTTTTAGGGGAACCTCCATTCTGTTTTCCCTGCGTCAAACCCATAGCTAACATCATACTTAATGAGAAAAAATTGAAAGTTTTTCCTCCAAGGTTTGGAACAAGACAGGGATGCCCATTTTCACCACTTTATTCAACACATCACACTAGAAGTTCTATTCAGAGCAATAAGACAAGAGAAAGAAGTAAAAGGCATCCAAATGGGAAAGGAGGAAGTCAGATTGTCCGTGTTTGCACACAGCATGATCATCTATGTAGAAAATCCTGAAGATTCCACAAAAAAGTGTTAGAATCATTTGCTCTTTCACTGCAGCTCCTACTTCACCCAGAAAGCTCTCTTTTCCTCTTCTTTTATCTGTGCTAATTTTAAGTAACTTAAAATTATAACACCTAGACAGGCCACCTGTACAGATGGCTTTCTTTTCAGTTGAACCACGTTCTTGCCTCTAGATATGAGAGTTGAGTGTCTTAAGGATTTTAAATCATGCCAAAGACCTTTCATAACATCTACAATTAAAGATAGGACAAAGGAATTAATTATTTGTGCATATGAAATTTCTTTCATAAAAGAAATTCATAAATGTGTATGCTGTCTCTTATTATTTAGGTATATTTGTAACATCCTATTTCAGGAATAAAATATCAATTTCTAGTTTGTGTTAAGAATTTGTTTGCTTAAGAAAAGTAAGTTTTTAAAAAGAATTTCAATACTAAGAGTGTTCTAAGAGCATATATCCATATATCTGTTACACCTGGAAATAAGAAAATACTGCTGTCAAATATTTTAAAAACAAGGAAACCAAAAAATACTAATGAACTTCTAGTTCCTCTATGCCAAGACTTTGGAAAGGTGCTATTCAGTAACTCAGTCCTCAGAACAACCTTATCATACAGAAATTGTCATGTGCATTTTACAGATTAGGAAATGAAGCTCAGAGAGGTATGCATTTCTCTCACCATATCACCTCCTTTTGACATTGAAGAGCCAGCACAGGA